CCCTGCCCCCACCCCGCCCCACCCTACCTGGGCGGGACCCTGCGCTAGTATCGCGCGAGCTCCGGACGAGACCCGGGGCCGACGGTTGGTTGGGCGAAACCATCTGCTACGTTACGGGGGGGGCTCAAGGCTTACGCATTCAGATATTTTCAATCTTTAGCTTTTCAAGCCCAGCTGCCGGTCTTGTTTTAGTCTTCACACACTCTATGCCTTCTCAGACTCTCGGGAGGAAACCCATGTCCCTGGGGAGAGGGCTGTTGTGTCTCTGTGCTGCGGCCTCCCCCTCTCGACGGGGAGCCGGTGGGAGAGGACGACGGCCCGCGGTGGGAGGAGGCGGCCCTAGCGCCATTTTGTTGGAACGAAGCGGTGGCTGGACGGCTCTTGGACCCCCTCGCTGCTCGGTTTCCCTGTCGGGCTTCCTAGCGGCGGCATAGCGGGTGAGTTGCGTACGCTTCTCACCGAGGATGGCCTCGGTGTTTCGGCTCCCGCATTAGGGCTACCTAAGGCGGACGCAGCGGCTCGGGCCACCGCCCCGAAGGGAGCCGTGGGGCCGGGCCTGCATCATCCTGCCCGTGCTGGACACATCGTTAGGGCCTCGCGCGGGACGGTAGCCGGCGCCGAAGCAGGGACGCTGGGCCCGCGGTGCCGTGCAGCCTGAGGCGGAGGTTCGGCCTCGCCTCCGGCTCGGGCAATGCTTGTACCTTCGGGACCTGGCACTTGGGGGGGTCACTGCCAGCTCAGGCCTTGTACCCCTGCCGGCCCACTCCGGGCCGCGCTGAAAAACTCCTCCCTCAGCCGTCACGCGCTGGCTTCTGGGAGGTGACGGCGCACATCACCGGGGACCTGTCGCCGCTGTCCTTGCGGCTCAAGTTTGGACAGCCCCGGAAACCCCAGAATGAGGCCCAGAGAGGAACTTTTCCTCTCTTGGCTTCACCTGACTCACTGGCGTTCGGTCTTCAGGGTTCAGCTTATGCATCATCGTTTTCTTCGGGAAATCTACTTTGACCCACCCACGCACGTGCTTCAACCAATTTAGGTTCTCCCCAGTCCTCGGGATTATTTACTTCTTTCACTATTGTAATAAAATAGTTACTTGTTTACTATCTTTATCTTCCTTGCCCATGCCCTTGCAGCCAGCATGGCACGTGGGACTCACAGTTACAGTTTCAGCACCCAACGCATAGTAGCACTCCATAAATATTTATTGAATGAATGAACTCATTAAAATGAGGCATCACATTTTGATAGGAAGTCACAGTTCTTGCCTTGGCCGCCTCATTTTTCGGGGATACCAATAAGTATAAGAATCCAAACAGGAATTTTTTTCTGGAAGTCAGAACAGTAACATACTGATGGTTTTATCAGCTAATTGTAAGGAAGCAGTTCCTTTGATATGAGTGTTGGTCATTCATCTCTCTTTTCTCTTTAAGAAAAATAAGAAAACATGTCTGAATATATTCGGGTAACCGAAGATGAGAATGACGAGCCCATTGAAATACCATCAGAAGATGATGGAACTGTGCTGCTGTCCACTGTTACAGCCCAGTTTCCAGGGGCATGTGGGCTGCGCTACAGGAATCCAGTGTCCCAGTGTATGAGAGGTGTCCGGCTGGTAGAAGGAATTCTGCATGCCCCTGATGCTGGCTGGGGAAATCTGGTATATGTTGTCAACTATCCCAAAGGTTTGTTACCATTTTGTTTTGCAGTCATGCTGAAGTATGGTCAGGTTTGTGTTTCGTCTTAAGTTTAACATCATGGTCTTTTCGTGGTGTGATGTGTCCTATAACCCAAGTATTTCCTTAAACTTTACTGTTAGATTAGTTTGGAAGACCACTAATGTAAACTTGTGGAAACTGGAAATAATAGAACATTTTAAAAGAGAAAACTATGTATTTAAATAGTAAATTATCTGAACAAGCATTGCCAAGTTGATGCTAAACTTGAGGAATTACTAAGAATGCTTTTTAATTATATCAGTGTTGTAAGTAGATTCTTTTAAAGTGCCCCAGTATTTTGGTTTGGTCATTATCCTTGCAGTCTTAATTTATTCATTCACCTAATCTGATTTCTTTTTTTCCCTTAAATGAACATCAATTGCAGTAGGCCAAATCTTGAATTTTGCAGTCCCCATTATAATTTGGGGGTTCTGGTCTTATTCCTGCTACCTCTTATTCCTGATGTTCTAAAATCTAAGAAAAGGAAACATGAAGAATTAAGAAGTGTGCCAAGGAAATAGGTACATTTTAGCAATATGAATGTGTGCTAGTTGATACTGTGTGTTACTTTTATTATAACTTGATATTGCAAGAAGGTCAGTCCATCAAATTTGGTCAGTGTGCAAGACATTGACTTACATGTCTAGAAAAATTTTAATAGCATAAACTCAGATTATTTTAGTATGCTGTTTCTTGAGCCGTTGGCTATAGATTTATATTTACCCAAAATGAAAATGTGATTTAATCTCTCCCTTTCTTTTCTAAATAACCTACGTTTAGGTCAGGTTTTTAAAAATAATATAAGGAGTACCAGCCAGCCACCAAAAAATAAGAAAACAAGTAAATAAAATAACTTAAGATTTTCTTTTTTATTACAAAATTAATGTGTATTCATTGTCGAAAGTTTAGAAAAGATAAAAAGAAAAATTAAAATCACCCTTAAGTCTACATCTGGAGACAAAAGTTGCTGATTTTTTTGTATATAGCCTTTAAATTTGTAATAGTATTCAGATAATTAAGCAAATATATTTAGTAGTCATAAAGTAGTATCACACTCTTTTTGACCAGTTTTTCTGTTTAATTTTTCTTTTTTTTCTTTTTTGGTGGCTGGCCAACGCAGGGGATGGAACCCTGGACCCTTGGTATTATCAGTGCTACACTCTAACCAGCTGTCCTACTTAATGTGTTTTAAAGTTAAAGTGAAGTAGAATTATTTTTGTTTCGATAAAGCTTTTGAGAGGGAGAACATATAATTGATTGTAGTCTTGATATTATAAAACCAGGATTGTGAATCCCTGAATTTACACTAGAAAAGCTCCTCAGCCACTTATATTCAAGCCATCACTCTTTGCCAAAAGTTCTGTCTTATTCTTAGAAACTTCTTTTTGCTTATCTTTTTTTTTTTTGCTTCTCATTTCTAGATGTAGGAGTTAGTGTGTATTTAAAGAAGTGCTAAAGATTTCTAAAAGGTTTCTGCTTATTTTGTTTAGATAACAAAAGAAAAATGGATGAGACAGATGCTTCATCGGCAGTGAAGGTGAAAAGAGCAGTCCAGAAAACATCTGATTTAATAGTGTTGGGTCTCCCATGGAAAACAACTGAACAAGATCTAAAAGAGTATTTTAGTACATTTGGAGAAGTTCTTATGGTGCAGGTAAACTTTGGTTTCATTTGACAGTTTTTCTTTATTAGTGAATCAGCACCTAACATTCCTGTTACTTTAGTGCACTGTCCTTCATCTTCAGTAGACAATACTTTTAATATTTGTTGTATTTATACATAGGGGATGCTTAAAAAGAAATTTGGCTTACAGTGTTTTCCTTCATGCATGCATCATATATTTTTGCCTTTGGTATTGTAAAATCCTACTGTTGCATGAAGGCTTAAGAGAAGTAGATAACATTCGCTTTTTTCTTTTTATTTGATGGTCAGCTGGTACAGGGATTGAACCCTGGACCTTGGTATTGTCAGCACCACGCTCTAACAACTGAACTAACCAGCTAGCTCTCTTGCTTTTTTCTTTTTATGTTATTTACGGGAGATTTTCTGCTCTTCCCTTTCAATTAGTTAAGATTTTGTAAACATTGAATCTAGTTTATCTTTGCATTCATTCTTAAATGAATGTCTTAAAATTCTGCTGTTTAAATGAGTATTACTCTACTGCTGACATGATCTGGATTTGATATTAACCCTCTTGTTGCTCTTACCTCAAGATTAACTTGGTTGAGTTTTAATTAAGTCCCACTGTGTCCTGTTGAAGCCATTCAAATTGTATGTCAAGGAGCTTTGATTTTGGGGGTGGGTGTGTATGTGTGTAGTTTCAGAGTAAATTTAAATCATCTTTTCTAGGTCAAGAAAGATATTAAAACAGGTCATTCAAAAGGGTTTGGCTTTGTTCGTTTTACGGAATATGAAACCCAGGTGAAAGTAATGTCACAGCGACATATGATAGATGGACGATGGTGTGACTGTAAGCTTCCTAATTCTAAGGTAATTTGCTCTATTTCCTTCTATGCATTGGGAACTTTTGCTGACAAACTCCCTAGACACTAAAATAAGACATTAAATGTACTTGGAAAAGGTAGTGGCAGGATGTGTTCTTGAAATCTTTTGCCTTATTGAAACTAAAGACCTTAATGCATGCTCTATATTTTGTTTGTTTGAAATATTTAGTGTATTACTCCTCTAAACTAAAATTTTGTTCATTTTTTTTTTTTCTTTTCTCTTGTTACTTCTGTTGAGTTAACAGTGTCTTTCATAGTTATATGTTAAAACATAAAGACAGTCAGATTATATTAATCTTGTTATAAAGGCCTACCTTGTTCCAAGAAAGCAAAACATAATTATCTTTGCCAGGACATTTCTCAGTCGTTGACTTTCCTAAATCCAAATTTGCGTTTATAACTTAAAACTTTATTTTTCATTGAAGTCTTACAATAAAGAGAAGCACTGATGCAAAAATTTGGTATACCTACTTTCTTTCTTTCTTTCTTTCTTTTTTTTTTTTTTAAAAAGATGACCGGTAAGGGGATCTTAACCCTTGGCTTGGTGTTGTCAGCACCACGCTCAGCCAGTGAGCGAACTGGCCATCCCTATATAGGGATTCGAACTTGTGGTCTTGGTGTTAGCAGCACCTCACTCTCCCAAATGAGCCACAGACCGGCCCTGAGTATACCTGTTTTCTAATGATTGACCTGTTATACAAGGCAGAAAGATTTTGTTACATTCTGTACCATAGTGATCTTTTCATTGCTCATAAAATATTTCTGATTTTTTCCTTCTTTTTGATTTGACTAGCAAAGCCCAGACGAGCCTTTAAGAAGCAGAAAGGTATTTGTTGGGCGTTGTACAGAGGACATGACTGCTGATGAGCTGCAGCAGTTCTTTTGTCAGTACGGAGAAGTGGTAGATGTCTTCATTCCCAAACCATTCAGGGCTTTTGCCTTTGTTACATTTGCTGATGATCAGGTATTTTTCTCCTTAATAATTTCCCAGTTAATTAAGTAATTTCTTTTGAACTTTTCCCATTCAGTTGATTGCCATTCTTAGCTAAGTTTTCTGACCTTGTAAGGTGTGGGGTATATTGGCCTAAATACTTGTGATACCTAAATCTATACCTGAGATATGTAAAGTTAAATATACCTTTAGATATTTTTCAGTGTGTGGTATTTGGGAGTGTTACATATCTTTTGAAAATAAACTGAAATATTGCTGCCATTATTAGAGCTGGAGACTATATTGGGGGTGTGTTTATATTATTAGCATATTCATTATTACAAATCATGATTTTTCTTTATGCCCTTTACTGGACCTATCACTCCCCAAACCGCCTCCATCTCTCCCCCCATCTTTAGTATACTTAGGTTTGTTCTCTCCTTCTGATAGTTCAACATATTGTTGTAACGTTTTGGGGGTTTAAATGAAATGAGCATTCATTGCTTATTTTTCCTCCAGCTTAGGTAAATTATGCCTGAAATCTAGGTTTTGTTGCTACTTTGATGTGTAAGT